TTGGCGATCGTTGAGTTGTTTATGGTTTTGGTCCGATTCTTGCAGTCGACCACTGATTATGATATTAGAGTCACTGATGGCACAGACCTGGAGCCTAATTATCACATCAATGAAGGCATTATTCCTAATGACTATAAAATTATGTTTAAGAGAAAATAATGAATATTACCTTGGTCAGTGAATTTAAGCCATTTATTTTAGGAAAATAAATTAAAGTTTTTAAAAATATATTCAAACTATATATAAATGGTTGATTTTAGTGAAGATTGTATTAAGTTTAAAATTGCAATAAATTTTATTAATTATACAAATCAACGGATAATTATTAAAATATTTGTAAGTAATTAATGTTATCTAAAGGATTCGGTTCATTTTAATAGAAATTTCTTTCACGCTATAAGGGATAGGGATGTCTATGGCCAACATACTACCCATAAATGTACTTGCCAATCTCGTGAGTGTATTAAATTCTCGTTGGCTCATCATGAATTATAAACGGCTAATCACTCCCATTATCACGCTATAATTAGAAATTTTAATGTTGTTTTATTAATTCAATTCTATAATAAAGCAAATATAAATATTTGAAAATTAAAACTAATAATTAAATGATTATTTAAATATTTGATATAAAGCTTTTATTATAATACATAATTATTATTAAGACATTTGTTTCAATTAATTGTAATATACATGTAATACAAAAAAATAATATCACAATATAAAATATGGGTGGGTATGCGTCCATCTGGCAATTCTATAACTAATTGCCTAATTATAAAAAATTTTACAGAATCATTAATCTAGATTAAAATAAATAGAAAACAATACAAATAAAATTTAATGTTAAAAATACATTCATTTATAAAACATTTTGTGCACTGAACTGGTGTTTGAGATGCCAATAGTTTTTGTATGAAATCTCGCAAAATTGCTGTAAGAATAGCGCAAACATTAAATACAGAAATCAAATTCATATCAAAATAATAGTTTATATGCAACCAAAATGACCCAGCACGTACCATTAATAATTTATGGTCAATGGGTAGTGTTTCCATAAGTTTTTCATCGCACCTTAAATTCGTTAAAATCATAAACAATGCGTTTATTAACACAAATCTTTTCACTTCAATCAGCATTTGCTTCACAGAATTGCGTGGATTTGCGGAATATTCTGTGCCATAGATTCGCTCCGATTCTCGATTATAGCACTCAATAATCAGTATAATAGTGGTGTCGTCGGGAAAGGTATGTAAATCCTGCATTGAGTCCCACGTGCGGCCCCACTCGAACATAATGGAGCCGAAGTCCTGTCCCCTATAGCCATACCCTGAGCCGTCAAAGTCGCAGAAAACTACCTGCGCTTCCGACTCATCCCTGTCCTCCACAATCAGTATATTACTGCTGCGGAAGTCGTTGTGCGTGAATACCATCGGACTGTCGGTCCTCGTAATCAAGTCTTTGATGAACTCCTTTTCCCCTTTCAGGTCATACCTCACGAATGTCTCGCAATTCAATTCTTGCGCTAATTCTTTGAACGGAATATTTTGTTCGCACATATCGTAGAAGTGGTCAAACATTTCGGACAACCAGTGCCGGCGCTTAACCGGCACATCCATGGCGTGCCACTGAGATAACCCTTTGAACACCTGTTCCACTAGTTTCGAGTCCCTTTGCTCAGACACATGAAACGGTCGGTGCTTTCAAAGTGAAAAACAATTGTAAATATATAATAATTTAATGAAATCAATGCTTACTTTATAAAACGCCAGAATCTCTCCTCCAGTGAACAGTCCGTATATTTTGGGTCCCAATCGACACCGGGAGGCCAGTAATGCTACGATGATATCCGGTAGTCTCTCATTACGACCACCACTGCCATCGATATCCACGTATTTGCTTCCGTATAGCCTTACAGCTACTTCACGAGGAACTCCATGCGATGGCCGGACATTGGGGTCACGGATAGCGCAGTAATACAACTGATTCGTGAGACCACCGGTCAGTCGGTTAACCAGAATCGAGTCGATCGTCTGCTCGCACCAGATGTCCGCCAAATAGTCTTTACACAACTGTAGGCACCGGTCGCTGATATCGGGAGGCGTTTCCCCTCTAATGATCTCCAGTCGACTGAAGTCTACTTCGGCCACAGTTTTACAGTCTCTCAGAGTTTGCAAACTTTTCAGACCATTGGCCGACCCTTTGCTCTCTGTTTTGTCCATCAGTTTTGTGAACAAAATTTGAACACAAAATGATATATAAAATGAACTAAATTTTAGTGTAAAAAATATTATAGTCAACACATTTTTATATACTTTTTAGAAAACCTTGAATGTATAGCTTATTTATTTATACTATCCATGTAAAAGTACCTGCGCTATTGGGGCACGTAATAGAAATGAACATTTCAAGGATATTATTAATACTGTATGAGACTTTCGTATCGTATATTTGTTTTGAAGTTGATATCTCTATAATAATTCTTATGCATAAAGTCGTTAACCTATTGTATAGTAATTTACTGTTTTGTAATGTATTACTTACTAAAACTTCGTAACGAGAACTGCAAAAAAGGTTCAGAAACTTTCNCGTTTATTAAACAGGTTTGTTATTTTGAACATGATCAGATATTTATTTATACAACCAATGAGTCAACATTAAGTTACTATTTAATAAACATGTATAATTAGTAATGAAATACAAAATTTCAGGTTATTTACTATATTTACTAAAATTACAAGCATCTAGATCGCATTTGAAAAATATTAAAAATAATTTATTCAATTAATTTTTATTATCTATAAATTATGACTTTAATTATGGATATCAATAGGCTGTCCATTATATGTTGCCCTAAATCAGTGGAAAATAAGTAAATGTTAAATAAATTCATTACAAAATCAACGCATACCTAATGAGTTGAGGGGGCGGTTGGGGTACAGCCAGGGAATAGGTATCTCGAAATTGTATCGACCGGTTAGTACCCGGCTGTATTGGGTTACCACTCAATGTATACGCCTTTCCATCGAGACTGGCAAAATAGATACTGGCACCTCCCTTCACAATCTATTTATACATAAGGAATATTCTGTAATACTGTATTTATTACAAAACATAAATTAAACTTACTGTTAAATCAATAGTTTTATCAAATGTGAGCCCTATTTCCCATTTGTACTTCTCGTTGACGATATCGATGGCAGCGGTGGTCGAGTCGGTGGTACTTTGCAGCACCCGATAGGTGACTGTCCCGTAAGCACCGGCTATGATAGCGGCCAACAAAATAATTAATTGGGATTTTACCTAAGATTTTAAGAAAAACAAATAAAATACTGCTTAAAATTCAATTATTTATTTTACAAACCATATTGTTATTGAATTGACCACTTTAATAATTATACTTAATTTTTAAGGTGAGCTATTTATATTTAAATGATAATTATTTTGAAATAATTAACTTTTTCCAATTAAATATCACCGTGGTTAATGGGAAGTTAACATGTGGTCCTATGGACGTATACTTCAAATGATATTCTATGTGTGATAACAAAATATAGTTTTACGGGAATAATGACGATCACTATACAAAATATTTTCAGTCTATTTAATATACATTCAGTCTGTTTATACACCTTCATAGGGTATACGGCAATGAGTTGTTTTACATCCGAGAACTCATGTCTAAGACCAGAGTAAAGGTGTCGATGAATAGACATTAAGTTCCTGTCAGGAACTCTAGAGTACGGACAGGTATTTGCGAGACTATCACATGTGGGTAAGGATGGCATAGCGACTGGTTTTTACTTAATACTCGACGGACAGGTGTTATGACCAAACAATTTCGCATTTGTTTTGTTATGATTTGAAAGTTTCTGAACCTTTTTTGCAGTTCTCGTTACGAAGTTTTAGTAAGTAATACATTACAAAACAGTAAATTACTATACAATAGGTTAACGACTTTATGCATAAGAATTATTATAGAGATATCAACTTCAAAACAAATATACGATACGAAAGTCTCATACAGTATTAATAATATCCTTGAAATGTTCATTTCTATTACGTGCCCCAATAGCGCAGGTACTTTTACATGGATAGTATAAATAAATAAGCTATACATTCAAGGTTTTCTAAAAAGTATATAAAAATGTGTTGACTATAATATTTTTTACACTAAAATTTAGTTCATTTTATATATCATTTTGTGTTCAAATTTTGTTCACAAAACTGATGGACAAAACAGAGAGCAAAGGGTCGGCCAATGGTCTGAAAAGTTTGCAAACTCTGAGAGACTGTAAAACTGTGGCCGAAGTAGACTTCAGTCGACTGGAGATCATTAGAGGGGAAACGC